TAGAGTAACTGAGCGTCAGAATGCGTTGGTTGCTGATACATTGAAATGGGTATTTGACGAGGTGCAACTTTTCAGGAAGAATGTCAAGTCCAAAACACCGCCCTGTGTGATGCTTCATGCTTCACTCCCGTGTACGGGTGGGTGCCCCTGGAACAATATCAATGGTCAGACTCAAGAAGGTCAAGCCAAGATCCAGGAGCACAAGGCGTTGTTTCGCAAACTGCTGAAGCGTTTGGACAAACTTATCACTATGCTTCGACAGCTTGACATTGTGCTTGTGATCAACATGGAACTTCCTAAGCTTTGCAGTTATTGGAAGAACTATTTCGTGCATGATTTCCTCATGAAATATGAGATGGTCAAGTACAATTGCGATGGTTGCATGTTTGGTGTCCTGGACAAGGATGGAAATTTGTTGCAAAAGTCATGGACTATTGCTTCTTCCTGTCAATCGTTGGCCAAACTGCAACAGTATAAGTGCACAAAGGATCATCAGCATGGACAGTCCAGGGGGGCGGCCCTCAAACGTGCTGAATCTTACACGTATGAAATGACTGACCTGATCCATGGATGTTTTTCTGAGTTTGCTGACAGCATGAAACAGGTTGTCACCGATAGCTCGGCTCAGAGACCAACAAAACGTGCACTTGTTGCTCTTAAGCTTCCCTCACCGGTAGCCGCAATGGCTGCTTACAATCTCGGGGAGTATGAGGAGGGCAACTTGGAGTACTGGCGAGGTGTGATGACGAGCTTCACGTCGAACACCTTGTTCCAGGAGACGAGGCCTGAGGATCGCAAGACAATGGAGCAGATCCTCGGAGCACAGGCCACCCTTCAGAGTTCATGCGCTATGTGGGCGGCTGACTACGCGCCGGAGCTCATGGATACGCTCTGCGCCGTCAACGACAAAGGTCTTGGCCGCATCACGCCCGGGGCAACCTGTGGCCGGAATAGCGTATACCTCGTTGTGAGTGACTCCAGCCTCGCCCTCATCAGCGGTGGCAAGAAGAACCGCAAGAGGGCGGACTTGGCGCAGGACATGAACTACAACCGCAGCACTGGTTGTAGCCACTGTGAGGTGAGAATGTGTTGGGGAAAGGACCTCACATTTCTCACGTGGACAGTGAAGAGCGCCATGAAGGACTTGAAGAAGCGCCCTGAGTTTAAGGACCACGACTTCTACGTGACGGTGTACTGGTCCGGGAACGAGCTCGTTGGCAGTGGTGGGATCTGCGATGAGCCCGAATGGCCATACCGTTGCGGAGACGGTCACTGGCCCGAGCTGTTCAACAAGTGCGCCAAGGCGATCGATGTGCTTGAGGAGTGCAGGAGTTGGTGGGGCATTGCAAACATCACGATCTTGGCCAACACCGAGGGTTCGTACTATATGCTCCCGCCCATCTACAACCAGTTCATGGAAAAGTTGTTGGATGAGTCGCTCAACAAGCACAAGCTCCTTCGCAAGAAGGAGTCGACGTTCTTGGTATCTCGGCAGGACCGGCTTGACAACTATCACATGATGGACTCCATCGAGAACCGGAAGACGACGGTGGAGTGGCTGTGGTCGTTGTACAACGTCATGAAGTGTGTCGCTGTCGTTGAGTCCCACAAAGAAGATTTCAACAACGTGAGGTTGTACCTTGAATATTCTCATGACGCCGAAGCTGGACTCAATCCCAACACTTTGGCCGAGTATGAGGCGAACAGGAAGCTCACTCTTGAGTCATGGGAAAGCCTTCAACGTCCGATCAAGCTCGCGAAGGGCCGCATCCTCGAAAAGATCGAGGAAGTCGAAATCAAGGAGGAGATCGACTACGATGACGATGATGCACTCCCGCAAGGGAGTGCCGCTGAGGCCGCGCTTGGCGTCAAGGCCGCTCCGGCTACACCCAAGTTCACCGCGAAAGCATCGCCTAAGGTACAGGCGAAACCATCAACTGCTGCGGTGGCATCGGATGTGCGGGGGGCAACCCCTGCCGGAAGCGCGTTGCCAGGCAAGCCCGGCGGAACCGTCATCTTCCGCGGCCAGGAGTATGAGGCGAGGATTCTCCCGGGCACGATCCTGAAGGTGCCCAACTTCATGAAGGGAGAAACGTCCTCTACCGATCGGTGCACAACCATATCTGGTATGCTTCGTGGCAGGTTTCAAGAACAGAGGCCACTCGACTTCGATGAGAACTATTTTGTCGACGTCCATCAGCTATGTGACAAATTCAACAGAAAGACCCGCAGCAATATCGGGTACAAAACACTGTTGAAGATTTTTGCACTCGATCCGAAATGCAGATACACCGTCCTCGCGATCAAGCACCCTTCGGCTGCCGAGAACAACCAGGAGTGGGTTGTCATCAAGGTTCGTGCCAGTCAGGGACACGCCAGCAGCGTTGATGCTGATGGCGACATCAGCCGGAACCAGTATGCACTTGCGAAGGCCGTCTATGGGAAGTTTCTCCCGGAGGACGCTCGCAAGGTTGGACTGCAACTTTCACCGGTTGATGATGGCCCCGGCAAACTATACCATCGCACGAGCAAGAACGCAGCCGAGAACATCGTCAGGACAGGTTTGGTCCCGGGTGGCGTTGGTGCCACGGAGAGTGGCCGCTCTCAAAGCCACTTTTCCATCCACCCGGTAGAGAGCTCATCGTATAATGCTGGAGTCCGAGCAACGATGCCCATTGAGCTGGTGATCGACTTCAAGTATGCGATTGAGCTCGGAGTGGTGTTTTTCCTTTCCGAGTCTGATGTCATGCTGACCAACGACATCGTTCCCAATGACTCCATTCTGTACTACACAGACGCGAAGACCGGAGAAGTGCTTTGGAGGAACGCCCTTCGTCTTGAGGCATTGGAGAATCAAACGACTGTCGATATGCTCGCCGCAAGGCGAGCCGTCACTGTGACTGCAGACGAGGCCTTTCAGACCGATGCGGAGGGGAACAGGGCCACAAATCCTGAAGAAGAGCAGACGAATGAGGATACGGCCGCTTCCTGCCCGGGGCAACCCGCGGCCGACACCTCAGTTGTCCGTTTCAAGACCTTTGCGATGCCCGTCCACTACACGGACTGCAGCCTCTGCGGCGAGGGCAGATCAAGTGTCAGCGCTGTGGACGGAGCACCAAGGAGAACAACGACGTTCAGCTCTTCAGAGCCGCAAAGCGGAGAACGCAGATGCTTGAGGAGGTGAGCCACCGCGTCGGCAAGACGGTGGACCAGCTCCTCATCAACGATTTCAAGGGCTACGCTGATGTTGCAAAGAGAGGAGCAACGTCCTTTGAAGCCAAGCAGATCGAGGCTTCGAAGAACTACGACAGCAGGGCCCGCAAGCTTGGATACGACAATGTGGTGGATCGGTTTGACAAAGACGCGACCTTCGCCCTTCGCATGGTGGAGCAAGGGCACAACCGCGACAGCCTCTACCAGATGTCTATCTATAGGTTTTGTGTCCTCCCCGAATTTCCACGGAGTTATGATCAACGACTTCTCGGGGTTGGGCCACGCTATGGAAAACGAGGTCTCCAGTATGTGAGGACCGTCTACGTCACCGGCGGCAAGGTCGGGGACTATGATGCCAGCCTGCTTGAGTTTCCATGGCTATTCTCGTACAACGGGAAAATGCTGAGTCTTCATCAATTCGTCGACCAGGTCAACATCCTCCCGGGGATGCGCAATCTTGTCACCTTTGGCGGGAAGTTCCCTACGCTCCGGGCAACCGGAGCCGTGGACCTCGAAGCTGAAGTCAAGGAGATTTGCGGCCAGGCGGAGGACGATGCGAAGAAGCTCGCACGGCGCAGCCAAAGGCAAAGCGCCGAGGACCGCGCCCGCGGACCTGTGCAAGCTGCTCAGCCCGCCTCCAGCTCCGCTGCCAGAAGCCGAAGCTGGAGAGATTGGGGCAGTCAGGACTGGAGCAGTCAGGACTGGAGCAGCTGGCAGTGGTCGACCTGGAGTTCGCGCGGCTGGTCTACTAGCGGAAGGTGGTGAATGCAATCCTCATCACAACGGAGCCCTTCTGAGAGAGAGTAGCAATTTGCATGCACGACGGATGTGTAATGTCCATTTTCAACGTGCAATGGATGTGCGTATGGAATCAAAGCGGGTTGCAAAACCTGCCGACATTTTCGTTGTTGCTCAATCTCAAATGAGGGGGGTGTGGATTCAGGTTCCAACCCTGTGCATGAGTGTACCTTGTACATGCTCCGCCGCTACAGACTTCAAGAGCACTATCAGCAGTGTGAAAAGTAGTCAACGGTTTGCTGCTTGCCTAGGTATTACCTTAGGTGGCCTAGGCTTGATAACACAAAGTACGAACGGGATGGGAGGAAGGGCATCGCAAGAATTCGTCAATCATTATCATCGGGTTGGTTGACAAGCGCCGGACCCACCTAAACATTTATCCTACTGTGGGTGGACGAAATCCACAAAGCGCACCACTTGCGATGAACACCCTGAATATATATATATATATACATATCAGGGTTGATTATCCACCATCCAGGGTACGGGGTTCTTTGGGTTGTCATTTGTTCAGCAGAGTCATCTATCCCAAGTGACTGGCGCGGATTTCGTCCACAGGATTGTCTTGGAAACAATACGGATCCTTCCTACAGGAAGATCCTTTGAGTCAGTTCCTTTTGTTCCTTCAATCCCATCCCCCCAAGATTCTACGCTTGCTTCCAAATGGAGCTAAACCCGCGGTGTTGCCATACGCCCCTTTTTTGTTGCCAACTGAGCACTGTTGTCGTTCACTCACTCCCTCAGCTCCTGGACTTTAGTCCCTTTTGGGGCTTGGACTATTTGGTGATAAACAAAACAATTGGACCTGTTTCGTACCATCCACTCAGGCAGTGAGTCTAAGGGTACCCTTTCCACCTTGAACTAATGGGAAACCAAAAGAACAACCGCCATTTTTGAGGTCCCCTATTTTGACACACACCCAAACGACAGACCCCTGCGCCCCCCTCCCACTCCCAGAGCACAATTCTTGGGCTGGCTGAGCTGGTCAGGTCTCCAGAGATGGGTAAGCAGGCCGTTGAAACCCTGGCGGTGGAGATGGGAGATCGGGCAAAGATCCAGCGTCTTGGCCGCCAAATGGGTGATTGTGAGGGTACCTGTTAATAGCTTGGTTTAAAAGGAACACCAACAGTTAAACCCACCATGTTTTTGTTGGTTGCCACGTATGTTGCCACATATTTGAATGTGTTTCTCCAAAGGAAACAATACAGTGGATGTCTATTGGGCACCCAGTGTTTGGCCCGAAAGTTCAAGTCTTCCCAGGGGCTAGCGAGGGTGGGGCAAGCTTGGTTTGAACCCTGGTCACCCTCAAAGGGAGTCCAACAGCAGGCTGTTTGGACAAGCGCTCGCCTAAACCTGTTGAGAGGGAAACCGCAGCGAGCTCCAGGTTTCATCAGCTGGACATCGGCGATGCCAAATCCGTGGAAGCCCTGGCCCAGTACGCCTCCTCCTTGGGCGGCATCGACGTGCTGGTGAACAACGCGGGCTTGGCCTTCCCCATGAACGACCCCACGCCCTTTCCGGAGACTTGGCCGATTCGCCCTGGCGATTGGGAGGATTTGCTGCAAGTTTTTTTTTTCACAGCGACGACGGAAGCTGACTTTGCTGGGAGTAGAATCTCTGTAGATGGTTTCACTTCGTGGAACTGAACAGCCAGAAAGCAGAAGTCACGGAGTGGCGAGGTGTAGCCATGCTCTTCAACATTAATATGCTGACTTGTTTATTATATTATTTCATTCACTGGTTTCAACTTGTAAGGCATAGGAATCTAGGAAATCCTGCAGTGGATCTAGGATTACATGACACATATTATGTTGTAGCACATGTTCAGTGTGCTTTTTATTTAGGAGCTGTACTTGCTATCTTCTCTAGAATTATCTTCAATGGAGAATAGATTGTTGGCACTAAGAATTGACTGCTTTCATCCTTATGTACACACACACTCTCTCTCTCTCTCTCTCTCTCTCTCTCTCTCTCTCTCTCTCTCTCTCTCTCTCTCTCTCTCTCTCTCTCTCTCTCTCTTTATTCATTGCAATTTCATATCCATCCTTTCCACATTCTGTTCATTCTCCCCACAGATCAAAAAGGTGTTGTTGTTTTTCTTTTTTGGGGGGGTAGCATATAGATATAATATATATATATATATTTATTTATCATATTGACCATTTTCTGTGGGGGACGAGGAACACAAAAGGTGCCACTAAAGAACTCAGCCTCGTAGAAACCGACCCTGTCGACAAAACGGAAGTCAGACAGATTGAGCTTGAAACCTGAAGAAGCCTACTTGGCAGATGTGGTTTTGCTAGATCAGACAAGCAGGAAAACCGGGAACAAAAAGGAGGGAAAAAAAAACAGGAAACAAAAAACACAAAAACAACAACATACTCCTGTGGGAGACTGTCTGCCAGCTACCTTTCCCTCAGGGAGTATGGTATTTCGTGTTTTTGTTTTCTCGGTTTTTCGGTATTTTCGGTTTCCAGCTACCTTTCCCTCAGAGAGTCAGGTTTTGCGATTTTTCTTTTTTTTTGAGGGTTTGCCAAAGCATGAAACGTCCAGAGTAATTGCCCTTGAAACTGCCTTTTTTTCCGTTTTTTTCAGACCCCCAAAAAAGGCAAATTCACCGGAAATACCAGTGAATTCTGCGAACTGGGTTTTGGGGGGGCTACCATATATATATATATATGCTCAGGAGCAGGCGAGGCAGACCGTCAACGTGAACTACTACGGCACCAAGCGCATGTTGACTCGGCTGAAAGTCAATTTGTACTCACCTTACCCGTAATTGGTGGCCTGGTTTGGTGGTCTGGACCCTAGGTGTTCCTCATTTGGTTGGGAAAGGAACTGGGCTTCAAATCCTCAAATTACCAATCCAAAGTACCTGACTTACCTTTCCCTGAGAAAACATTGGATGTGTCAAAAGTTTCCATGTTGGTTTCCCCTTGAACCAGCCTGAAAAGGGTGTCCTGCCAAGACACAGAGCGACATGAAACCTGAAAGAGGGCCCTTGTTTGTATGATTTCTCTCGTTCTCAGATAGTTGTTCTTTTTCCCGCGAATTGCCTTCCAGCACGGTCTTAGAGCCCAGGCTAACCATCCTCCGGCCCCACTTGAAGCCCAAGTCGCGCTCAGTGGGCGTCTCCTCTGCTACAGGCCAGGCTCCCTCGCGCACGATGCGCGCGTGAAACCGAAGTGGTTTTGGAAGACCATGGAAGACCCCAATCGAGCGAAGCAGGGCTCCCTCTTGTTAGGGGTGTCCCTTTTTTCTCGTGCATTTTTGCTTGGATGTTAGGACTTGAGCTTTTTGCCAACATCATGGGGTTTTCCGGTTAAACCACCAAGAAGCTAAACTTTTAGCAGGGCTTCGCAGATTTCGCCACCGAGCCTTGGTTTGAATGGTCGGACCTCCTGGAATGGGATTCGGCGTTCCTCTTGGATTTCCCTTCGCCATCCGAAGAGGGGTGGCTTCATCGCTGTTTGGTGGCCAATCTCAAGCCATTTTTTTTTTCAGGGCGATGTGTACGGAAGAAGTCTAGGGAGCCGCAAATGGGCTCGTGAGTGTTCAAGTGTTTCTCAGACACTGTCTGCTTCGCTGCATCAAACTCCAAGCCACTTTCCCAGAGTAGTACTAGACGTGCCTTCTAAGGATGTACTTAGAGGCCAAAAGGGGTCAACGTAAATACATTCGCACAAGGGAATTACTGGACCCTTAAGGAGACACAACACATTGGACTTGCCGCGTCAATCTTCCCACCCCAACTCCTCAGCATCCAGGGCATCCACACTGAACATGAGTATGTGTGTGCATGTGCGTTTGTGTGTGAGTGTTTGTTTTCGGAGTGGTCTGGACTCTTGTGACCCCCATGACCTCTTTGGGATGAAACCTCAGTCCTTTTTATGGGGAAGACTAGAAAAATGGAATTGAGAAAACCCCCCCCCCACTCCCTTAGGGAGGATATTGGGACCCATGTTATTTGGCCCGCCTGATTGGTGACTCGCACCGCTCCTGTCATACCAAGCCGAGTGGGAAGCTGATCTTAAGCGGATGCCCGAGCTGCCACGAACCCGCAAAGCGCATGTGTGGTACAGACAGCAAGAGTGCCGAAAAAGCGCAAGGGGTGCAACAAATACCTGAACAAGTCGCAAAAAAATGCTGAGCGACTGTTAAAAGTGCTGAAAGAGTTCTACGTGCCGAAAACAGTGCTGGACATGTGTAGAATGACTGCTGGAAAGCGCCGAACGACTGCCAGCAAGTGCGGAACGAGTCCTACAAAGGCTTCTTTTGGTGGTACCCTTTTTTGCGGTTGGAAACAAGGGAACCAATGGGAAACCACCATTTTGGGGGGGCCCCTAAAAAACACACAGGCACACACACACACGCAATGGAAATTTTGCAGGGGTCGAACTCCCCCTCCAATTCCACTAGGGGGTGGGGATCTGGACATGTTTATCCCGGACTCATAAACCTCCAGTGGGAATTCAGACCACTTTTGCCGGGGCCGACACCCTAAACATATAGAGGTGAGACAGATGCTTGTAGTGCCCATCCAACAAGTGGAGGATTTTGCTGCATGGGCAAGCTATTTGCACACAGCAGGCCAAATTGGGGAGTTGCTGAATTTCCGGGGTCAACATTACATTGGTCCCGCAAAAGGGCACACTTCGTGGAGACCCCACCCTCCGATTCAGGGCCCTCAGACAGCCAGGTTTTGAGACCCCCAAACTCCGGGGTGTCCAATGGAGGGGTCTGGGTCTTCCATTGAAAGCACAAGGAGCCTCTGGATACTTTCATGCCTCAGGGATGTCGGGTCTATGGGACCAATTGCGTTTTGGAGATCCCTCATACGGGTGTGTCTTCTTGTTGAGGGCACCCGTTTTTGTAAATTTTATAGGGAAGCCAACAAGAAAACCGGCAATTTGCTGGGAAGGCCAGTTCCTAAAAAACGAGAAACCCAGGTAGTTCTACTACCTGGTTTCACTGGGTGTGTGGTAAGGGCTATAATCCACTTCGGCAGGTCAGTTGGGCTCCAGCTGGTCCGATGCACTCAAGCAGCGCCTATTGTCGGAGACATTGAGCCTCAGATCTCTAGCGTTCCTGCTTTCTGTTTTTTGTCTTTTACCTCAGGCCATTTGCTTTTGATTCTCTGGATCCAGGAAAGGTCCCCTGCAAGTCAGGGGGGGATGTATATTTGTCTCAAATGTGATTGTTTGATCCTCTGAATAGGCCTGATTGCATTGCCCAGCGTGAATGGAACCTTTGGGCTTACTCTTTCAAAGGCGGTTTCATCTCGAGGCTTCCCAGGCGATCCCCTGGGTAGTTTCAGGCTTGGCTTCGTCTTTTTCAGGGGACCCGCCAAAGTGGCGTTGTTCCTTGTTGTTTCCCTTTTAAGCCTCCCAAAAAGGGGTACCCTCGAGAAGAAAGACACCCAAATAAAGATCCTCTCGGTGAATCGGTTGAAACTATTCAAAACGGTTCCTATTTGAGACTCCCAACTCCCAGAATATCTCTTGGTACCCTTTTATAGTACTTTACAGGCTAAAAGGGGTTATTTGATTCATCATCCTCACACAAATACTTCCCTGCAGATGAACATCCTGATCTGATGAACAGGAAACCTCCAAGGACAATAAAGACACTCATGTGTAGAGGATGTTCATGTCGCAGTTGCTTTTGAGCATCATTTGTCGGCCACTGAAAGCTTCCTTTGGGATCTTGAAATGAAAAGGGGAATGTCAGGATCCCTGATCAGTTGGCGAGCCCTAGCAACCCGCACACAGAGTTGGGATTGGAGGATGGGACGGGACTCGCAGGAGCACTTGTGGCTTCTTCCATTCTGGTGAGTTGTTGGTTTTTGTCCCTTAAACAGGTGGTTGTCCTCTTGGTTCAACTTCTGTTGGTTTGGATAGGCAAGTATTTGTGATAATAGTGACACTGCACATCTTGTGTTTAGTGGCACTGAACACGTGAATGCAGGTGATGTTTATTGACTTTTACAAGTTGTTTCCTGTCATCACCCAGATTTATGCCAAAGGGTATTTTGTGTTGATAGGTGTATGCGTTTCAGACGTCGAAGCGTGCAACCAAAGTTCACGTTACCCTTACTTGGTGGTTTGGATTGGTGGCTTGTGGATTTGAACCCCTGGTTCTTGTAGAGGGTAGAAGCGCCAAGCTTGCTTTAAGGCTTTGGACACATGTAACTACCTAACAGTACCTGTTGATTTCCTCGTGGAGACATGGAAGGCCCAAAAACAGGGGTCTTAGGACCACCTTGGGCCGAGCAAGTCGCAAACAAGGGGGTAATATGCTGTTTGAAGCAAAGTACTTATTTCCAATCATGAACCTTCTTGTTTAAACAAAACACACACTGTACCTATACATGTGTCTTTAAAAGGATCTATGACATCATGTTGTTGGGCAAAGAAAGCAAGAGCGAATGGAAGTGGAATTGCTTGCTGCAAGAAGAGTCACGGACAACACTATGGGTTGCTTAAAATATGTTCTTGTTCAATCAGCACAGACTGTATCTCTATATGTTGATTTAAAAGGATTTCTATTTTTTGCTTGAAGGACGCGGTGTTTCACACAAATTTGTGTTTTGTGCTTAAAAGACTCGGTTTTTCACACAAATTTGTGTCTTTTTGCTTAAAAGACTATAAAACGAGCCGTCCTAGGACCCGAAAACATCGCAGCCCAGGAGCCTCCAGGAGTTGGACGCCATCGCCGAGGAGTTCGTGGCTGCGGCGGCCGATGGCCGGCACCAGGAGAAAACGCCCGGGAGTAGATGGGGGGCTCGTCTTTTTTGGAGTTGGTACCGCGTTTGGGTGGATGTTACAAACATTTTACAGCGCAACCAAGTGAAGCCAACCATTTTGGGGCTGGGGTGGCTCGACTTGTTTTTTTCCGGCTCGGCGCCTTGTCTTTTGGGTGGTTTTGAAGGGCAACCAAGAGGAAAGAGCCACGATCTTGGGCTCGTTGGGCCTTCCACTCAAGTTCAAGGTTCAAGGCTTCCTGTATAGTTGCCCTTTTGCTAGTTATATATATATATATATCACTATTGGGTATGGGGTCAAAACCACACAACCAGGAATTGGACCGCAGGCTTTAGTCCTTGGACACATTTAGGGTTCCAATTTTTGGTACAGATTTTTAGCCCACGGCCAGTTGGTACCGCGCTTTTTGGTGGTTTTGAAGGGCAACCAAGTGAAACGAACCATTTGGGGGGATCCCTACAAAAAGAAGTGGAGGCCTGCGTTTTTTCACATACTATTTTTTTTGTTGTCCAGACATATTTTTTCAACAGCAAACACAGCGAATCTCCCGCAAATTCAGAACAAAACGGTTGGGCGTTGTAGATTCCAGGAAAAAGTGTAGACTGCCCGGGGGGGGTGGGGGGAAAACACGGAATCAGTTTCCTAAGTTCGTCCCCCTGAAGATTAATTTGATTCTCTTGCTTAGACCTGAACATTAACAAATTGAGATGTGCATCTTAACAACTCGCACGCTTAGTTAACTCGCACGCTTAGTTAGTGTTCGCTGCTTGAGCATTAGTATGAGTAGCACCATATCACAAGCCTCTGGTGCTACTGATGATGCAAGCTTGGAAGTGGTTGCCAAAAAGACGTGTTAGCTAATAGCTACACTATTCTCTGCAACTAGCACCCACATTGATTGCTGCTATGCTTTCACCTTTCATGAGCCAGCACATGTGGCAACATTGGGCTTGGTTGCTCTGGGGCTATGGTTCCAAAAAGGCAAATTCTGTGCACTTTGCTTGTGGGCCGATTTGCGCTTAGTATTCCCATCCTTGTGCATCATGCTCTCGATGGCAATTGAGTAGGGTCATAGTTTGGGCCAAAATGCAGCAGTGTCATCAGGCTGCCAGCTTGCTACGGGTTCACATGGAGAGTTTAGCCGCACCAGAAATGGAGTGAAATATGTGTGTTTCATCAAACATGCCTTCATGTAGCGCAGGCATTGCTCTGTTCCATTGCTTGTTGAGGTCTTTTGCGGTTGACCATAGGAGATTTTGTTTATCAGAAACTGATTGATGACCTATTCTCTTAGCCCCTCCCATACGATTTGTTGGTGTGAGCCTACCACAACTCCAGCGGGCAGCCGCGCGTTGGGTGCTACCTGCTTTCTCGGAGGACAGTAGGGCTGTGAAAGCCCTCTAGCTCCCATGCAAACTAGTTGCGCGCAAGAGTTGATATACGTAGCAGATGAGAAAATACTTGTCCAATTTGCACTCTCCTTGGGGCAGTCATCTGTGTGAGTGGCTTCTTTTCCTTGCGTACAATGCAGCCAGTAGCATCAAGAAGCAACTATGAAATGCAGCGGGGTGCCTTGTCAGATCCTTGTTTGCTAGAAGCAGCATCTTGGATTTCTACTTTACATGACTGTAGCTCGCAAGGGGTTGGTGAGATGAAGTCATGGTCTTTCCCTTACTTCTTTGTGCCTTTTACTTGCTACAGGCTCATGGGTTTTTACACTACCCCCCAACACTCCCACTGGGACAAGAAAATGGCACGTGCCCAATGTCGAAATAGTCCACGAATAAGGCTTATTTAAGCCTTATTTCCAATACATACAAAACAAGGCTTAATCAAGTGGTGAAAAGCAAATAGACCCTAAATAAGGGTTCTTTGGCAACAGCTGTGTTGCACAGTTGTTTGCAAGCTGACCTGATGAAGTCTATTTTTCTGAATCTAGCGCAGCTGATTAGCTCATGATGTCAGAACACAGTTTCTTCGAACCTCACAGGCTGTGATTGCCATTTTCTTTGCTTCTGATGGCTGCCAGGCAAGGTGGCAGGCTACAACAACGGTTACTCTATGGCGCGGAGCAAAAACCACCCGAGCTGCCGGAGTCGAAAAATAAGATCAAAATAAGCTCTAAATAAGGATTTTTGTTGTCCCGTGAGCCAAAAAAAGCTATGAAATAGACGCGGAGTTGAAAAATAAGGTCAACAAAATAAGCTCTATAAGGATTTGGCTGCGCTCGTGAGCAAAAAAACACATTGGAAGCTATGAGCTGGACGCGGATTTGAAAAATAATGTCAAAATAAGCTCTTGGCTGTCCCCGTGAGCAAAAAACCCCCGGAAGCCACCAAATGGACAGGTCGAGTTTGTCTGACCACAAAAAATATTTTTCGGGTCTTACAGGCCGACCAGTGAGGCAGGCCCCAAACCTTAAATAAGCCTTATTTCTCGCAGCTTGCCTGCAAGACTGGATTGGTCCAAAATGCAAGTCTCACAGCCTATTTCAGTGGGGGGAGTGTTGGGTGGGGCAGTGTAAAACCCCATGACAGGCTCCAAGCTGCTATCCTCAGGATTGACCTTTCCCATTGGCCATGGGTGTTTTGCCACATGACAAGCTAAATTAACTACAGATTCCTGGTCCTATGACTAGGAGATGAGGAAATGCGGGTGGGTGGCGTTGCTTTCTACATCATCAAGGATGTATACATTGGCAACTTACATTGGTCTCTGGGCCCGAATGTGTACCAGCTCAGCAATGGTGCACAATCAGTCCGACCCTTGAAGCGTTTGGACTTGGACTTGATATTGCCTTCGTAACGACGAAGCAAAATCTCACGCCCGCGCGGGGCCGGAGACTCCGGAAATCGCAGAGATCACAGCGGCATCGAGCGAGACGCACACGGCGATGATCATCGATCTGGATTCCAGTCGAGCTGCAGCTTCTGTCGTCACCGAATTGGACTTTGCAATCGATTCGCCCAAATCAGAGTCGATGGCACCACGGCGGTCTGAAGGTCCCTCAGATCAAAAGTGGCCGCGGCGGCGAACAGCTCCAGCGAGCAGATCGAAGGTGGCGCAGATGCAGGTGCCATCACCGAGCATGGACTACACGGCTGTCAGCCCAGGCCATCAGTGCCTGAGAGCGCAGCAACAACGTGTGTGGCTTGTGAGATAGTTTGCTGGTGCCCTGCCTGCCACAGAGTCTGCAGGCAGTTGCGGCCTAGATGATGCCCAGGCCCGGAAGAAAAAAAACGATATCGCCATTGCCGCATTGAGATTTACAGGGTTTTCGCGGGGGGAAGAGATCTCCAACTTAACTTGCACCCTCCATAATTCACCAACACACTTTCTGCTAAGTAGATCTCCTGTGGTCAACCCTTAAGCCTTACACTTCGTGTTCATAGAACAACCGTGGAACACTGAAATGCTCTGCGCAACGTGAAAAGCAGTGTTATTTCATGAAAGCACAGATTTCACTGAACAACGCAGGCCTCCACAGCGTGCCACACTCAAAAGAGGATGAGTAGATACGGTGGCTAGACTTTGTATTTAGGGCTCCCTAATTATATAGTTGCCCTTTTGCAAGTTTTACACACACATGTATATATATATATATTTATATGTAAGTGTATTTCACTAAATGGTTTTATTTAGGGTTCCATTTTGGGTACAGATTTTGAACCACGGCCAGTTAGTGCCTCGTTTTTTTGGTGGTTTTGAAGGGCAACCAAGTGAAACCAGCCATTTTGGGGCTCCGATTCCGAAAAAAGACACTTAGGTGTGTTCCAGTGTTGGGTGGCTTAACTCTTTTTGCCGCTGGGTCCCTTGTCTTTTTGGTGGTTTTGAAGGGAAACAACTGCTTTTGGCCTTCCTTTCAGACGCTCAACATGGGTACCAACTCAAAAAACGCGGAACCATAACGGTGGTTTGTTCCAGTGTTTGGTGAAAACATCATCCTTGGTGCGAAATGGGTTCACCACAGGTGATGTGGCCTTCGGTTTCCTCTAATTAGGCGGCATCTCATTTTTGTTTGTCCTTCCAAACGATATTGAGAGGTGGACACCTAAAATTGTAGTTTTCCCGTTGATCCCTTCGCTAAAAATCTCTACCTGCGGATGCGCCAGCCAATGACTCCCTTTTTGGCCTGTACAGAACATCCGAAGGCGCCCCAAATAGTTTTGTTTTGTTGTTTCCCGTGTTGGCTTTAAACGGGAATCTACCATCACCGGGACTTAAGCGTAACGGGAACTCATAGTTCGCAGGAGCTCGGCTTTCCCGGGTCAGCCTATGGCACTTCGAAGGCGCTGGGTGGCGTCGGCTTTCTGCTTTCATGGGCACGCCCCCTAAAACAAACAAGTACCCCCACAGAAGTCGGGTAAGTGAAGAAATTCGAGGGGTTCTCAAAAGCACGTTCTTCAAGAGATGCATTTGTCAAGCTTGAGGTTCTGAGCCCGGACATACCGCTTCTCAGTGCCCAGAGATGATGTTGGTTGGCTTTTGTTGGTGGGTTTTTTGGGGGTCCGTCTGCTTTGATCTTCCACATCGCCTTGGTTTTCTTTGGAGTGGCCAGAAATCAAGCTGCTTCACTTGTTTATGGCCGGCTGCCAAAATGTTTTACTTTGTTCGAGGGATGTCCATTTTCTGTGGTTTTCAGTCAGCATCAGTCAGCCAGCAACCAGCCACACTTTGAGCAGCTTGCCCTTGGGCATTGACCAAGAGTCAACAATCGCTGGGCCTGGTCAGTACGGGTGAACCCTTTGTAGAATGGGGCACGTTCCCTAGGTCCCCCTATAGTGCCCTTTTACCGTTCCCCTAAAATAGACTACAGAAAAAGGGTACCCTTATTCTAACCTCTCTACTGGAGGACCTAGTTCTGTTCATCAAGTAGAGCACTCCTGGGTCAAAATATTACTTTGGCTTTGTGTCCGTCACATGTTTCTACGGTCACCTGCAACTCGCGGCCATCACTTGTTTTGTGAGTAGCAGTCAGTCAGCACATGTTCCATTTGGCGATTTCCTGAAACCATTTTCTGAGAAGCCCAACATGTGCGAAGTGTATTGGGTATGCTAACGGATTTTTACGCCTTACGGTGCCAATCTCAAGTAACCTTTAATTGGTGGTTTGGATTTGTTGGGGGGTTTTCACCCAATTTGTTCTTGTAGACAAATCAATGCACACGTTTCCAGCTGATTCTTTTTTCAGCATTTCAGAGCACAGCCCAAACCTGGCGTGAAGCATATCTGGGGTTCCTCTATTTTCTGCGGTTCCCCTATTTCGATACATTTCCATTTGAAAGACAAGTGGGTTGCTACCATTTGCTGAATATATGTGTTCCTCTTGTTTAAAAGGGGAACAACTTGAGATATGATATTGTTTCCAGGGGGCAACAACGTATTCCTGAAGGGGTTTTGTACATCTCCTTTCACATCCGCACTTGGAGAATCTTGTCTGAACTTTCTCAGTAAACTGGGCCTTGGGATGTAAAGCGGGATGTGGAAAAGCTGGACAAATGGAGGGTTGTGATTCCTCAAGTCCTGAGTTCCTGGACTTTAGTCACTTTTGGGGGCTGGACCATTTTAGTGTTTCTTTTTTTTTTTAATGGACATTTTGGACTGTTTGGCTCACTTTAACGACCATTTTAGTGGAACATATAAACAAAGTTTGGGCGGTTCGGCGATCTCGGGCAGCCACGAGAGAAAGAAGCGCAGGCCTTGATGACCCAGCTGCACCGGGTCCTCGCGAACACGAGCTCTCCCCCGGCTCTGCTCTGCTACTTTGGCGATTTTTTTGCCAAGGGATGTTCGGACTTTTACTTTTTTAAACCCAAGCAGTGGGTTTTCTTTTTTAAACCACTAAAAGTGAGTTCAATTTTTAGCAGGGCTTCGCAGATTTCGCAACCGAGGCTCGGTGTGCCCGGGGCTGTGCCGGACCTACATGGCCACAGGATCGAGAGAAATGGATCTTCGTTTTTTTCTCTTTTGTTTTCGCGTGGCGGGCGCTCGTGGTCCATAGTTGGCCGTTTCCACTTGGGGGATAAAAGCACGTAAGCAGCCAGCCGGGTGTAGAAACCCTTTTCAAGGGAGGCTGGTCATTCAGTGCAAAAGGCATCCCCTGACCACTGTGGCTGGCCTCTTTTGGAGTTGCCCCGCTCCATGCTTATGTTGTGAAGGGAAACCAACAGGAACACCGAAATCCAATTTGGACGGGCTAAATCCTAAGAAAGACACCCAGGATTTGCCTCTAGCTTGAATCTCGGAGGGGATATCCAAAGTTGCTTAGGGAGCCTTGAGGGAGCTACCAGGAGTTCTTGTTGGGGACACGTGAGTTGTAAAACAATTGTCATCTTGGGATGTTTCATCTTAGGGAGCGCTTGAATCCTTGATTTCGGAAGTGGGCATGTGTTACTTTATGTTTTCCATTAGTTTGCTCACTGTGTATATGCGCACCTCAGATTCTAATATTTGAGGGGTTGATTCCCATTGCCATTCGGGATGCATAGACACCCATTTTGAGACATGCAGAAAGCCAGTCTAGGAGTGAAGTCCGCTTCCACTATGTTCAACCATTGCTTTTTGTTTGTTTAGCATGTTTCCCCAGTTTGCTTCCCAGCCCCTGGCCATGGGAACAGGCTCCATTTACCTCGCCAACGACCTCTTGACCTAGCTCCCCCCTTTTGATCAATGTTTCGTCGTTTTCGATGTTTCGATGGATTTTGAGGTTTTGTTTTTAGGGGTTTTGAGGTGTTTCGTTCCGTTCCCAAAGCTTCACCTTGTATTTCAGGGGGTGTTGGGCAAAAGCGAGGGTTTCCTTCATTTCCTCGCATGGACACCACCCAACCTCCCGCAGGCCGCGGCACCTTCATGAGCAACGTGCTGTGGTTGGCCTCCTTCGTCGTCGGCAACTCCGCGGAGGGGGGCGCCGACACACCGCTGTATCTTTGCACAGAGCTGCCAGAGGCAATGGGGTTCTGATTTTTTCCCGAGGGGCGCTTTTTTTTGGTGTGTGTGTATGTTTTTTTGTTCCGAGGTGCGTGTTTCTTCAGCGGATCGTTTCTTTGGTTATCCCTCACTTTGTGGTTTGGGGATTCGACGCCCTGGTAAACGGGAATCCACCCCTTACCACAAAAAAGACTCCAAACCAAACCACCAATTGGGGACAAAGACTTTTTAGGTTGGTTTCAATAAAATTGTAAACATTTGACAAGATCAACAAGCAACAACCAGCTGTAACTAGAAGTTCATTCACGGCGTGAATCAACCAGCGGCACTTCTCTGTGACGAAGAGAACAGCCGCGTTGTGCAAGTTACCCTCCCACAAGTCAACATGAAACCTGACGGGCGGGTTCTGGAAGACCATTTTCCCTTTAAAGGGACTGTCCACCGATCAGAGCCATAGCAAATGGAATGAGGCTTTAGTTTGGTCCTTAATGGGTTCATGGCTACCCTATTCATGGCTCTGAATCAGGATTTGTGTGTGTGTGTGTCATTTCTTGCGGGTGACTTAGCGCTACTTTCTATGATGCCACCACAGGCTCCAAAGTGGCAAAGTAGTCAAAGACATGCCCCCTTTAGGATCACAAGGTTGGGCGGGAAACTGCAGGCAGTTTCCAACAACCAAACAAGTTCCTAGGCGATTGTGAAGTTCAACTCCGGACACTTGTGGGCATGGGTTCAAAGCGAAGCCAAAGGGAAGTCACTGAAGAAATTGCCGCATCACACGGATCCATGCATTTCGATTGGCTCGCAACTTGAAGATAAACACACACACACACACACACAACGCACGCACGCCCGCCCGCCCGCCCGCCCGCTCGCCCGCCCGCCCGCCCGCCCGCGCGCCGCGCGCGCGCACGCGCAGACGCGCACACGCGCACACGCGCACACGCAGGCACGCACGCACGCACGCACGCACGCACGCACGCACCCACCGACACACACACACACACACACACACACACACACACCACGTAGGCACGCACGCACGCACGCACGCACGCACGCACGCACGCACACACATGGCTATGACTTCCAGATAGGTTGGTCCCTCTACAATGGTGGGACATCAAATTCATGTAACTGATGTCCGCCAAGGAGCCTAGCCTAATTTGCTGTTTGGGTCACCGAACGATGGTTTCCAGAGGTCAGCCCCGATTGTTTGGCCACACTGATGTGGGTATGTGTCACAAGTGTTCAACATTACTCCAAGCATCAAGTTGGTGCTGTCCTAAGATTCCAAGCTTGTTTTGAGCCATCTTTACGTTGGAGGACTTTCTTTGCCATTTAACCAAAGACACCAAAAAGGGCTCCTGAATTCTGATAGATATCCATGTGGCCCATATGGCTATCTCAAGATGCTGGACTCATGTGTGTTTGTGTTTTTTTGGTCTTCCTTCAACGCAACGAAGGAAAGGGTGCTCAAAAAAGAAGAAGCCACACTTGACTCATATGTTGCTTTGTTTGCTTGTGTGTCTGTCTGTCTGTTTGTTTGTTTGTTGCTTTCTTTCTTTCTTTCTTTCTTTCTTTATTTCTTTCTTTCTTTCTTTCTTTTTTCATTTATTTTTTTCTTTCTTTCTTTGTTTCTTTGTTTCAGCTTCCGTTTTGTTGGTGGTTTGGAGAGGTTTCCCATCTACCCTCTACAAGAATGAGGGGACACCTGATTGCTTGTTGTCCCTGCAAGGCAGAGTGGCCATCGGTACATGGCCGATTTCTGCAGAACCGGCAGGTAAAGAACTACTGAGCGAGATGCAAAAGAGCGAAGTGAGGGGCATCTTTTTGGGAGGCCAGAAGGGAGAAATTATGTGGAGGAAGTCCGAAAATCACACCACCGTTGAGCACCCCTGGAATGGTTTGATTCCCTTAATCCAAGAAACAAGTGTTTCAACCATGATTTCAATTTGAGGCAGGATTTCGTCCATCCGCGGGACACCGAATGCCGCTTTCCCAGGGTAGACGAAATATTGGGCTGAGTCAGGTACTATGATTTGGGTCTGTCGTTTTCGAGGGTGCCCTCTTAAAAAGGGAGGGGTTTTAATGGGAAACCAACAGAAGAAACGTTGCGCCAAATTTTGGAGGGGTCAAACCTGAAAAAGACGAGCCACTTTCAGCGTACCCCAGTGGGCCTGCGGATGGACGAAATCCATTTCGCCTCGCCATTCAGAAACGGAATGGTTCCCCTGTTAATACCAATGGTTTCAACCATTGTTTCATTTCGTGGTGCGAAAAGCGAATTTCGCAACCATCTCCAGTACCAACGGATCCCTTTTCAATTGATGCCCGAAAGGTGAAGCGCCGGAACTCGACCAGAACCCCGCAGGTTCTAACCCCACAGGAAAGGTGTATCCCATGGGGGGTGTCTTTTTTTTTCCGGCAAAAGGCCAACACATGTTGCGGTTGCAACTACGGCTTCATTTAGTGCTGCGAAATGAATCTGTCCACTGTAGAGTAGAAGAAGAAGAAGATCTTTGTGAGTGCATCCGCCGCATAGCCGACGTCGCACCAGCGGAGGACCGCAGCGGCAGCAGCCGCAGCAGTCCTCAGGGCGGAGGGTACCTGCGGTCCCAGAGGGCGAGCTGACACCTGACAAGGTGCCGTCTCACCTGCGCAGTAACATCCTCAGAGACATCCCAAACTTTCCACCCAAACCGGGCCAAAAAGGGATTCCTGGGTTTCTGGGGACGGGGTCCAGACTCAGGGTCATCACACTCCCAGCAAATGTGATTCCACGTTCCAAGACGGCGACACGCACCCCAAACACAGTGCAGGGACGCTTCAGCAGGAGGGTTGCGAACCGCCCGCCAAGTAGCCGGAGAGAAAGTGGCGGCCAACGCCACCGTAGCCGCCGCTCCCGAAGTAGCAGCCCACACTCGGGTGCTTTCCCAAGCCACACGAGTGAAGCCGGGGCCACCCACCCAATGGGCACCCAAACCCCGGACCTCATGCCTGCCAGACCGAAGCCACTGCTGAGCACACCAAGCCCTCCACCCGACACGCACCGAGTGCTGCAGCCTCTCAGCCCTGTCAGGGCTGGCCCGAGCCGGAGGCCTGAGGTCCAGCTCAGTGTCTGCATCGGCATGCCGCCAGTGCCAAGGCCGAAGCCGGTGCCAACCACGGCCAACAAGCCAAGCGTCCAAAGTGGCCGAGGGCGACCCTCGACGCGTAGACCACGGCAGCATCTGCCTCATTGAGCCTTTAGCAAGAGCCCCAACAAGTCTGGTACACCAGATGCAATCCAAGTGGACATTCGCCCCAAACAAGAGAGCTCTCACCCAAGGGGAAGAGTACCTCACACGGTGAGCATGCCGAAACACAGCCGTGAACAGTTTCTTCGAGAGTTGCAGGGTAGGGGACCTGCCAACCCAACCGAAGTTAGCCTTAGTCATAGCAAAGACCTTAGCAGCCGCCAGAAACTGTCTAAGGCCCATGCCGACGCAAGACAGAAGTGCCAGAGTAGTCCTAGCGCGCTGGCCTCTCTTCAGCTCTTCAGGTGTCAGGGCCCTAGGTGTCCCATACGTGCAGGCCCCCAAAGTCTGCACGACCCTGACCACACGGTCAGGAGGGAAGACTTGCCGCAGCCTGTCCCTTTGCTTAGCCGTGACTCCCGTGACCCATGTCTTCAGGTTGTTTTCGACAAGGCCCGCCTCGGCACTCCAAGCTTGCCACCTCTGCCAAGTATCAACGAGTTGGGCCGGGCTTGCGGAAACAGCCGTACGGTCATCAACATAGACCTTAGTGTACGGGAGCTGGGCTGGGACCGCCTGCGCCTGCGCCATCCGCCTGCGGACAACCCTCAGCCCCGCCTGCACCCACAGAGTCATTATCAGAGGACCCATAGGGTCACCTTGCGGCTGTCCCAGGCCCTGAAGGGGTTCTTCCCTGCAGTGATTCTTCCACTGCACAAAGCGCTGCTGGTTGCCCCACGCACTGCCAAGAAGGGCCATTATGCCAGGCGACCACCGCATCCGCCGAAGGATTTGGAGGGAGACCTCCACATCCAACGTGTCGAAGGCTTTGGTAAAGTCCATAGCCAGGAGATGCTTCCTCTCCGCGAATTCATGCATGATGCCGGCCAGAGTGAGGTAGCAATCTTCACCCGTGATGGCTCCGATTTCCTCGGACAAGTTTTCCCTCCGCCACTGCTTGAACTGGACAGAGTTGTAGAAGGTGCCGGCGAACAGCCGCCACCAACAGGAGGTGATGGTGATTGGCCTCACATCTCCGACCCCCACAGACGAGTTGTCCACCCGGCGGCCCGGCTTGGGTATGCACACCATCCTGCTTTGCTGCATCTGAAGTGGCACACGGCCTTCATTGGCCCATCCTCTGATGAGGTCCGCGAAGAGTTCGAAGGCTCCGTCCGGCAGGTGCCGCAGCTCAGACGAATGCCAGCCATCAGCCCCGCCAGCACCAGTGGCCTTTCTGGCTCGGGCGCCCAGTTCCTCCCCAGTGGGGAGAGGGAGCACAGCTTCTTGCTGGGGCACTTCAACCCCTTCCATCACCGCCGCGTTGCGCACGTGGAAGGCTGGTCTCTGGATATCAAGGTCCCTCCAGAAGGCCTGCCAGTACCGTGCTATTGAGTCAGCTGCTTGAGCAGCCGTTTCCGCGTGCCTGCCTGTCTCATCAAGGAGGCTCTCTGCGGCAGGGTCAGCCTTTGCCTTAAGCCATCGACTGAGTGCCGCGGTGTCAGTGGAGACCTTAGTCCGCCAGTCACGCAAGCGCCTACCCTTCTCTCTTTCTTTCTCGGCGTGGAGCAAGTTCTGCAAGGTCCTAGCTTCAGCCCTAGCTTGCCCAGCCGTGAGGTTCCCGCACCTCTGCCTTAACGCCTGCAAGTTCAGCACCATCTGACTACTAGCAGTACCTTCGGCTACTTTGTCGGCGCACTGCGCCAAGTCGTACAGGCGAGCAATCTGCCTGCGCATCTTGCGGTGCCTCATGACACCATGCTCCTGCCTCGGCCCGCGGCAAGTTTGAGACTCAATGGAGACCCGTGCCACCCGACCCTTAGGCTCCACCCTCCTCCCCGCCCTTCTGCGGTGGCCGAGACCTATAAGAGCGGAGCGAAAGGAATCCTGAAGGCAAGCCTGGAAGTCATCCCAAGCCTGCTGAACATCCAAGCTCTGGCCAGCGTCTATTTCCGCCCTCAAGGCCCGCACTTTGGGTTCCTGGCTCCAAGCTTCGGACAGGGCTTGTCGCCACACCTCAGTTGGGACGTCCTCAGGCCTGCTCAGGTCAGCCGTTCTGGGCAACACACCGACTTTAGCCTCAAGCCGAGGTGTGGAGAGCTCGAAGGTGAGACACTTATGGTCGCTGAGCTTCCAAGGAGCAAACTGGATCACAGACATGCATCGCGTGCGATTGGACGCCGCCCAATCGACCTCCCTATTGCCTCCCCACCTCGTAGGCTGACCCGACGCCCAGAGCCTCCCATCGAAGGCACTGACGAGGTCAGCAACAGCCGAATCGCTGGGAGTCTCGTTGAGATCCCCAGCCAACACCCAGGGATGCGACCTCTGCAGCCGAAGCTGCACGAACGCATCCTGAGTCATCTGCGCCCCTTCACTAGGGCCATCTTCTCTGGGGTGAACGTACAAGTTCATGAAAAGCCACCCCGCGATGAAGGTTGCCAGGAATTCGGCACTACCCATGCTTTGACCTAGAGCAGGCCGTTGGGGCAGAGCCCTGTTGACGAGCGTCAGGACGCCCCCGCTTCTCTGACCAGTAGGGCCCTGGTGATACATGCAATAGCCACATCCTCGCTTTTTGACATAGCGAGCGAAACCAGCCACCTCGGTAGGGGCCAGTGAGGCTTCTTGAAGCAGCACCACATCTGGCCTGTCCTGGTCAAGTACCTGATTGGCCACCCTCCATGCGGCTGTATTTTCTTGGCAATTGAAGGAGTAAACCTTTATAGTTTCAAATGGTCCAGGATGTCTTGCTTCCCCAACCCTCTGAGCAGCATACCCACAAAGCCGCCCAACGCCGGCCTGAGCCTTGGTCAGTGGCTTCCCACGCCGCGAAGCGGCCTTAGCACTGGGCGTCTTGCTAGGTCCACAGCGAGGAGGGACCTTGGCCCGTGCCTTAGCTTTGGCCTTGACCCTAGAGGCATTAGCTAAACCTCTAGGCACTGCGCACCATGGTGTGCCTGCCTTCGGCAACTTCCGCTTCTTCTTGGTTTTCTGCTCCTTCCACCGCTTTGAGCTCTCAGTTTCCACATCGGTCTTGAAGAACTCATCGATGTACTCCTTGGTGCGGCCAACCGCGGCCAAGAAGTTCGCCGCGTGTACTGGCTCAGCCGTTTGCAAGTGTTTCCACCAGCTTCTCTTCTTGCTCATAGTCCAACCGTTGGTCTGAAGCCGCTGGATGCGCTCAGCGCAAGGGAGAAGTTCGTGAGGCTGAGGGGTCTTGCCAAGACACGGCAGTAGTAGGCATTGCCTCTTTGGCCGTTATCAATCCGCTCCTGGGGCACGACCTGAACGATGTCATGCGTGCCAAACTTAGAAGCTCGTACCTGCTCATGCTTGGCAACATTAGCTTTGGCGGTGCCACCTTTTGGCTTGCCCTTTACCGACATATAGAACATCTGCCGGAGCGTGAGCCCGTGTGCAGAGGCATGTTTGCGCTTTGCCCTTTTCATCGCCTGAGAGGCCAACGCCGGCAGACCCGCCTGGCACCCTTTGACTGGGCAACTCCAAGCCCTCTGTTCCTCGGGAAGAAGGGGGCTAGCATCAACTTCCAGGGGAG